TTATTTCAATGATACGTTCTCATTCATACGACTCACTCGCCTCAATCCCTCCCTCCAATTTTCCTCAGCAAGCACCTCCGTCTCATTTCTCCGTATAACTGCTATCTCTCATTGTTGTGCATAATCGATTTATCAATCATGAAGTGTGCATAAGGAACCAATTATACGAGATTATATTCCAATGATGTCTGTGAGTATTAGCTGAAAAATAAAACAAAACAGTGTCAAATGCCAATTGTATCAACCTCTACTACTCACACACACACACACAGACACACACACATTGCACGGGTTTTTATCCGCTCTTATTCATGTCACCTTGATCTATTGACACGGTCTAACGCGTCTCCCATTTGAAGTTCCATTGAATTTATCGTTCTGAGAAGAATGATTTGTCTTTTTTTTGGGATCTCCAAACGATTTTTTTTTTAATCGTCCTATCGTGTAAGAAGCAAAAATAAAACGAATCGATACTCACAGTGCAATCGGTTGCCATTTCATCTGGTGTTTCGAGCTCAACTAATTCATGTCACGATGAAATATGCAGGAATGTATGCTTTCATTCCAATGTAAAAAGTTCGTTGTTCCACTGAGGACCGGGGCTGGGCATGGGCTGGGTGGGTGGAACGTAAAAAACAATAATAACAATTATTGCTAATGTTTTAGTGGTTTGAATTTTCAATTGTTTTCCACATCATGGTACATTCCATTGACAGGACAAAATTGTGGTCGACTGAAATTCGAAGAGGATAGGGTGGAGTGGGGTGGTGAATCAAATTACCTCGAGGTCAATGTGACTACAATTTTGGCTGTTTGATCAGATTAGAGAAGGAATAAAAGTGCAAATAAATTGGGATCAAATACTAATGAACATTATCGATTTGGTTTATTCAAAATCTTTTCCCTTATTCATTTGAGACAAGGATAAAAGTATTCTATCTATAGGGGGATAATACATATTGAGAATTGGACTCGGTTTGAGAATGGAACCGGCACTGGGATTAATCAAAACTGACGGGGCAAATAGGAATCGTCAAGCACATTGTGGGTGTTTAGTTTAGTGCTCGGGCGGCCTCAATCGGTCGTAAGTCATCCCTTAACACATAAATTCGAACCCGACTACTGTCTTTCTAAAATCCTATTTGTTCACAAAGCCAAATAAGTTTAACAAGTTTGGTTTTGGAATTCATCCGATAAACTTTGGTGATTCTAGAGAAAATCTGTCGGTTTACTTGCTAATTAGAGTGTGTCTAGCTGCCTGTGTGAGTTGGCCGGTCAACGGAGTGTGAAAAGGTCACGGCGATAGTCGTAAGTCAACTGGTATGGTGCAGAAATTTAGGTTTTGGGTTTTATGGTTATACGCGGAAGATATATATTATTCATTTTAATGTGATCATCTGAATTTGTTGCATCGATTGATGATTTTTCACTCTGTAATTCAACGGTGATGTAAACTATTCGATTGTTACATTCCGGAATTCCCCCTCATCAGTGCCACTGAACTTTTCCAATGCAATACGTGTAAGTGTATTTTCTCTGGTTGTTCACTTCCTACTGAGTCCATGCCAATGAACCTCTACGGTTTTATTTATTACACACCAGTGTGTGATGAACAACAGACGGGGTGGAACTCCATAGTCACAAGGACCTACTGTTCAGTGATGGTAACCGGTACCCTAAGCACCGGGAATTGAGTGGTGAACCACATAAGACCCGGCCGCTAGCTCAGGCGTGGTAAAAAACCGGGCGACAACAAAGCTGTCTCCCATCAAATTTGGGTGGTGGTGGCTGGGCTCGAACCTCGGATCACAGGGTCCGAAGTGCGCTGATGACAGCGACTAAACCACTGCGCCACCACCGCCACCAGTGTCCCAAAAGTCTACTTCGGACCATGAAGATATAATTCAACCGGCGATTTCCACCATCCGGTTTCCCGTTCGTTGCAGACGAAAGCAGTTACAGTTTGATAAGCTTTCCAATCCTCTAACTTCAAGCCAGTTGGAGTGTGGTGCTCAATCCACTTACTCAGGGTCAGCATACAAGCCATAGACATCACTTATTAGATAGGTTCTCTGTGACATCCAATCCACCAAGTATTTTTAATCTCTACCAGGCAGAATATAGGCTACCGAATGTCCCAGCAATTGAAGGTACCTTGGTGTATTATGCAAAATTTGCCCACAGTTCTTCTGTACATCGAATGAGAGTGAAACACAAAAATTTCACACTCATTTCTCGTTTACTCATCCACTTTTTGTTCATCTCCACCGTGACAGAACGAAACTCAGCGGATTCCAGTGTGCAACTCCAAGTGAAGTGGCCGGTTACAGTTTGACCGCGTTTCGGGCAGCCAATCTGTGCAAACCAATCCCGAAAGAACCGGTCACGAAATCGGCCGAGGACACGCAAATCAAGGACGAAGTGCACACCGGTGTCGAGGGAGAGGATCCACAACGGTTTGGTCCCGTGTACGGATCCGAAGGGGATAAAGACGG